TAATTTTATGTCAGATCATATCACTGGTATACTCAAAACTCCCAGTGGCTTTTTGGCTCGCTCCCAATAAAAGTCTAAGTTCTTAGAATGATATTCATGATGGACTTCCTGACAACCTTGGACTTCTTATCTTCCTCTTCCTCTTGATTCACTTCTCCTCACTGTTCCTCAAACCCTTCAGCTATGCTCCTGCCTTGGGGACTTGTCATCGGTGGTTCCCTCTGTCTGGAATGTTCTTTTTCCAAATAGGGCTCATTCCCTTACTTCCTTCAAGTCTATTCAAATCCCACCTTCTCAGTGAGCTATTTGGCAACCTTTCAACAATTTTTTACATCTTTCATTGTGTCGTCTTTTCTAAGACACTCTCTGACATACTATTTAATTTATTGTCTGTCTCCCCAGTAGTTCCATGAGGGCAGGGATTTTTGACTACTTCATACATGGCTATATCTCAAGTGCTTAGAACAGTGCCTGACACAGAGTAAACTTTTAATTTGTTGAATGAATGAGTGAATTAATGAACTGGAGTATATTTTTTGTATGTAATTTACAGACCACTTCTTCACTGTAATTATTTCAAGGAATATCTTCCAACTCTGTCTTTTCTCTCTGTTGTCTTCTCAACCTGTGTTTCTTCTATTTTTTCAATGGTTTTTGTAGTCTTTCTTAGAAAAATTGATTTGGTTCCACAAGTATCCTAAAATCATCTGTTTGTCCTCTGGCAGAGGACTTAGGGGAAGAGGTTTGAAAGCAAAGAAAAATCTATTTATTGAACAAAATTAGGTTCCAGGCATCATTTTAGGCACTGCAGGTACAGTCGATGGAACAAATGAATGAATGAATGATTGGTTCTAAAATATAATTATAAGAACTTTCATTTTCATCTCCAGATCAGAAGCTATCTGAGATTTTACCTAATTCTAGGAGTAAGAATTCTGGTGTGGCGCTGTAGGATAAGCACTGGATTGCTAACCACAAGGTCATTGGTTCAAACCCAGCAGCTATCCCTCAGAAACTTTATACAGAGTCACTATGAGTCAGAACCAACTTGAAAAACTTAACCACAAGAAGAAGCATATTTGGAAAGATGAGAAGGCGCTCTGGTGGTACAGTGGTCTACGCACTGGGCTACAAATCTAAATGCTGGTCTTTTAAACCCACCAGCCATTCCATGGGAGAAAGATGTGGCAGTCTGCTCTCACATAGATTTTCAGCCTCAGAAATCCGATGAAACAGTTCTTCTCTCTCCTATAGGGTTTAATGAGTTGGAGTCGACTTGATGGTCATGGCGGTGGCAAGTATCTATGTGAAATGGCACAAATGGCTAAATGTTTGACTGCTAATAAAAAAATGGCAGTTCAAACGCACCCAAACGCATTTGGAAAGAAAGGCCTGGGGGCTTGCTTCTGAAACAGATCAGAAAACCCTGTGGAGCACATTTCTACTCTGCACACATGCAGTGGAATTAACTTGATGGCAATTGGTTTGGTTTTTTTGGTAGGTATGTTCAGCTACTATGTGATGGTATCATCAAATTATTCCTGCCTCAATGCCAGCTATCTCCCAAGTGCTTTACCCCAGTGATATATTGTAAGTAGAAGTCTCCAGAGCCATTGATGAGGAGTCAAAATAACTTTTTTCCTTAAAGGATTAGTTTTTGAGCTGAAAAGAACTAGCAAATAACCATATTGTAATCTTTTAGAAATTTCAAAGGCTACATTAGTACTTTTGGAGTCCTGGTGTGGCGCTGCAGATCAATGCGATAGACTGCAATGTCAGTTTGAACTACATGATTGGCAGTTCAAGCTCACCAGGTACGCCTCAGAAACCCTATGCAGGGTCACTATGAGTCAGAACTGACTTGACGGCACTTAACAACAACAACAATAAACATAGTGCTTTAATTGAAACACACATAATTTTAAGCAGTATTTCCCCTCTTGCATTTCATTCAAAAGGCAAACTGTTATATTCTGAGGATAATAAATCGTTTCAGAGCACCATACAGCACTTGCTTTTGTTGTACTGAGCCAGAAATTCCTTAATAATTTAATCACATCAACTCTTTTAATTGAACTTTCCCAATACACACAGTCCTTTGGACTCTATTCCTGGCTTGATTCCTAAGTCTTTTACATTCCATTTCATTGCATGTCTATTTTACTTTCTATACCTTGCTTTTTAAATACTCCTTCTCCTGCTCCATCCCCCACAACTGTTGTACTACCATTTCCATTAATGAACGAGCCAGACTTCCATTTCTGTCCTCCTAGAACAAGGCCAGCTGAGGACACAAAGCTGACCCAACAGGCTCATTGAAACTACAGAAAGCAGTACAAGGTGAGAAGAGCAGCAGTCTCCTGAGTCTGATTTCATCCGTATTTGGGTTTATGAAAATCTTGGCAGAGACTCTGTCCACTGGGGTAGGCAGTTCATTATGTTCTCCCCAAAACTTGGCCAGGAGTTTGGGTAGATGGGCTTGTCAATATGATCTGCTCCAGCAGCAAAGAATACTGCTGGGAACTCTCCTTGGAGTGTATTCATTTGTCAGATAGACAAGAGAAGGAACACACTTTCCCTTGGAAGCTCTTGCTTTAGACAGAGAAAGGAATAACCAGGTGTCTCTGTGGATGGCAATTGGCTGCCATGCATGCAGTGAACACTACACATTGTTAGTAACACATGCTAAGACAAACATTCATCACTATAAACCATGAGAGAGGCGCTGCTCTGGCTCAGGGTGGAGAGAGGTGCCAAGATACCAGTTCTTGTGTACTAGGGGAAAGGTGTTTTGCGGCTCGCAGGCCATCTAACTATTTACCATACCACTCAGTGCCACAAACTAATCATATACTTCACATTTCCATCAACAGTATAACAGAAACTGCTAGGCTGTTTCCCAGAAAGACCCTCAATGGTATCATTCATTGCTCATTGTTACAATTCATCAAAGACCCTGTCTTCCAACTTGCAAAACTACTTAGTGGAGAGTGAAGGCCTCCGTACATGATTACATAATGTTGTCCCAGTCTCTTGTTGGTGTGTTTTAATTTTGTATTTGCACCTTGAGCAGAGTTTATCAGAAAGGGATAATTGATACTTTTATTAAATCACTCTTTGAAATGAGAGAGCAGAGATTCTGGGAAATGCTTAAGGACCTGTCCTCTCATACCATCATTGGCTCTCTTCTTCACTTCTTCCTCACCCATTCCTTCTCTCAGATTCTCCATCAGAACTCAGATACTAATGTGTGGAGACACACAAATATCAATCAGGAAACTTAACGCAATGGACACAATTAATGCCTACTCATAAGGCCAAGAAATGAGAGTCACTATCTTTAAATAGGAGTCATAGTTGATGCTGTAGGGGCACTAGACAGCTAACCACAAGGTTGGGGCTGAAACCCACCAGCTTCCCCTTGAAATCCCTGTACAGGGATGCTATGAGTCAGAACTGATTTCACGGCAATTAACACCAACATCTTTACAGATCCAATTGTTAGAATATATATGTACACATATACACCCACATACAGGGATTTTTAAGGAGTCTTGGTGTGGTGCTGTAGGATAAGCACTAGACTGCTAACCTCAAGGTCATTGGTTCAAACCCACCAACCACTCCTTGGAATTCCTATACTGGGTTGCTATGAGTCAGAAAGGACTTGACACTTTAACAACAACAATGGTTGAAAAATCCCTTAACTTTATTTTTAGAGGAGGTTTTCTGACAGTTCTGCAGCCCTTCCTGGCCTCCTCAAGCAGAGGATGGATAACCTTACTTTCACTCAGTCAGACGCCCTAAGCTTCAGTTGGTCTCCTTGTCTCCTCTGTGTGTAGGGAGAGTTCTGTCTTTCTGCCTTTACCTGCATTAGCTATTTAACCTGCCTCGCTTCTTGACTATTCTAGGTGCTCCATGTTTGGGACACCTTTTTAACTGAGGTTGTTTGAAAGAATGGAAACGTACCTGTTTAAATATGCAAACTCAAAGAAAAGATATTGCACACAGAGAGAACAAAGAGAGTCACAAAGAGATGGAGGCTGAATGAAACATACAGAGTAGAGTTAATGCAGTGATTCTTAAGTATAGTGTGCACCACAATCACCTGGAGGGCTTGTTCAAATACAGATTTCTGTGCCCTAGCCCCAGAGTTTCAGAATAAGCAGGACTCGGTTGGGTCCAAGAGTCTGCATCTCTAACAAGGTCCCAGGTGATACTGATGCAGGAACCACACTTGGAGAATGACAGGGCTACTCTGATAAGAGGCTGCATTTCCATGGATCATCATCGTCTCTTCATGTAAGACTTATCTAGCATTCTCATTTCCATCTTAGATACAGTCGATCCAACCATCTGCTATGTGAAGACCCAAAGGAAGGAATCTGGCTCAATTTTTGTAATTTAATTGCATTCTGACAAATTCCTTTGAGCTTCCCCAACCCTTTCATTTAGCATTTCCCAAGATCTTTGAATCTAACCTCTCTGAGAGAAACCTTTGGCTGTTTTTCCTCTGAGGAAGTTCGATGTGCCTGACAGTCTGCTGCAAAGTTGGGGTTGTTGGGGATCCTATGCAGGCGTAAAGTTTATTTCTGGTAGCTGGTTGGCTGGAAACTGTTCCTTTGTAATAAATCTGGAGCAAGAAGCCTGCTCTTCTACACAAAAAGATGGAGCCTGGAGAAGAGGCTATCTGCTTTTAAAAGACATCTCCTTGGTGAACTCTTAATATCAGGTGCCAATCACTTTCATTTCCTTTCACACTGTCTATTAAGGTCAAAGATTCTGAAAAGAACAAGAGGTTTTATGGACCAACACAAAGTATTTCACAATTGTGACTGGTTTCTGTGAGTAGCAGATGATTCCAATCAATGAAACAAAGGTGGCTCCAGGATGACAAACTAAGGGCTGGAAAAAAGGCTGGTAGTCAACACTTTATGCTGGACTCCCTGCCGTCTTCACCCTTCCAGAGCCCAACCCAAAGACAGAAGATGGCTGCTCACTGTTTCGGGGTTTCTCCTCATCCATGCCTTCATCCTCATTCTCGGGGTCGATGTCTTCTGCCTGTGTGATCCAGTCCAGGTAGCCTTTCAGATCCTCTTCCAACTGCTGCTTCTCTCGAAGCTTCTGGAAATCTCCCCGAGCCTTGGCCTTCTCCCTCTCTTTGGAAAATTCTCTGGTGAGAGAGGGAGGAGTGGGCAGGGCAGGAGAGCACACAGAAGGAAGGGAGGGTTGGGAATGAAAGGAGAAGAGATAAGAATCCATTGTTTTGCAGTAGGAAAATGCCCCACAAGCTCTATTTTCTACAAACAGCTTTCTCTAGTCATCCCAGTTGTTTTTAGGGTTTTGTTTTTTGTTTTGGTCTTTACTCCCACAGAGATAGAAAAGTCATTGAAGATTCCCTTCTTGACATAACCCGTAAGTGTGTAAGAGGATGGGTACAGTCCATTTCCCCTTTTCCTGGGTCATGATCATAGGCTCTGCCTGTTAATCCCAACTGTTTTCCAAAATACCTAGGAACCCTTTCCAAGCAGTAACTGAAAACTCCACAATAGTTTAGGCACATGAACTTTCATTTCTCCCAATACTGTGTGGCAATTGAAAGATCTCATAAAAATCTTCAGGTGACCAGTGTGTGGAAGCTGCTCACTTGTACAGGCTCCTGAGAGCCAATTGTGCACATCTAGTCCCAACTCCAGTGTCTGTGAGAGTATGCACGTTGGTAGTTTGAAATTGGCCATGATGGGGATATTTATACATGACAATTGGCCAATGCTGCGAACCAGGGCTTTCCCCTCAGGGAGTCCATTGCTAACTACTTGTTATTACATCCCTACTTTAGAACCCAGGAGATTTAGTCTTCTCAATCTCCAGTTTCATACTAGAGTCTACCTTACGACTGTCAGCATGCCTGGGGGGGAATTTCCAATTTAAACAAAGTTCTTTCCCCCATGGAAACAAATTAGGATTCCAAACACAAGAAAATGTCCTAGAGATTGCCCTTTTGGTTTTAAAAAAATCCAATCAGAATAGAAAACTATTTAAAATCAAGATAAAAGTGAAATAATGGATTGTTGAAAATCATAGTGAGAACTTGGAAATTGATTGGGATTTGTTGGAAGAAAGGCCTCTTGAAAAATTTCTGACAGAATGACTGTTTCTTTTCCGTGGTCTATGACCCTACCTTTATTTTATTTCTGACTTTGAATTTACTCTTGGAGAGAAGAGGGGGCTGGCAGCAGAAGACAATAATTGACAAGGCCAATTCTCAACTCTCAAAACAAGTCTTGCCTTTTCTTCCAACACAGGTATGTAGCAGCATTTTTGTCTTTCATGTTCCACTTATGGGAAATGGGGCCCCAAGTGTGGAGTGTGTGTTTTTGCATAGGCACTGCACATCTTAGCTAATTCTTGGAGCAACAATTCCTCCTTCTCCTACCAGTAAAGGCATAGTTCACTGCAAGAGCCTGAAGAAAACTTCTCGAAGGGATTTCTCCCATAAGCCAACCACTCTATAGGAAAGGCAGTTTGGGAAGAAACGGTAGTCCCAAGCAAACACAGGGGCCCAAGAGATCAGCCAATTAGTCATGGAGGGGCTCTATCACCACATAACACTTCTGAGTGTTGCCTGTGCTACTTAGGAATGCAGAGACTTCAGCATTCATTATTTCAGTGGTGAAATGGGGTTGAGGATGGGGAGCGGGTTTGGGAACTTTTTAATTGGGAGATGTGGGGGCTCTCAAGTTAATGAGGTCTCCTCAACTTCTGCCTTAATGATACTTTGGCTTGGATTGAATTTTCTTCTAAAATTTGATTGAATCCAATTCTAATTGGATTGAACTCGCTCTTTCTCAGGCTTCCTGCCAACTGACGGGTACCTTCATTTGCTTCCCAGGGAGTTCTATGCCAGGGAAAAGAGGCCAGATTGACAGCTAACAATGGAGATGGAAACCTTGCTTTGCTTTGCTCCCTCCCTCCTTTTGCTGAAGTACCCAAGTTGGGGATGGGCCTGAAAAGATGCCAGTCCCCCTACCAGCTAACCTTCTACATCTGTACCTGGTTAACTCTCCATGGTTAACTCTACTCTTCTCCAGAGACAGTATCTTCATATACAGCATCCTCCCTATCAAAATCAACTTCAAAAATTGTGTTTGAAGACCCCCTCTTTTGACTCCATTTCTCTTCAGACCCACTTATCTTCCCTTATCCACTCATTTCCTCTGAAGTGGGTTGGGGCAGTGATGTCACTGAATAACTGAGAATAGTTTTGGTTACAAAGCTACTATGAATCTTTCTTTTGGAGGTGGGAAAATAAAACTGACATAAAATTGGAGTAGGGACAACTGAGCCTGTCCTGTTTTACAGCATCTACCCTCTACTCCAAGGACTCCATGGAACTAAAAAAAACAAAACAAAAAACCCCTACCACACACACACATTTGTTGAAAACAAACAAGTAGTTGTGGTGGTGCATCTGTCTGTCTGGCTTTAAAATCTTTTCTCTTTAGTAGAAGGATGTGTGTTGGAGGCATGAGGGAATGGAAAAGTGGCAGGGTCAGCTCTGAAGCCCTGATGGCTCCCAGGACTATGGGCATAACCAGGCTTGTGGCAGGCTGGAAGATGAGCAAAGTTTCCTTCACCAGACCCCACACAGTAAGTGATTCTCTGGGTGGCTGTGCCTGGCTCTTTTTATCTCCTTGCCTGGATGCCAGCCATGAGTTGCTCTGGGGACTTAGCTAATGAAGACATGAAGCCCTAGCTTGATGGGCTGTGCTGGGCTCAGGGACTGGCGCTGGCTAGATAATCAGTCACAGCTATGGGATTTGTCACCAGGCAGGAGCACATCTCTTGCCAGCAATGGCCAACATGACAAACGAGGGGTGGAGTTGAGAGCTAGAAGGCTGGTGCTCAGTAATGTGAAGCATGCAAAGGCGGGTGGGTGTGGAAAATTCACTCAACGTGGACTGCTGGGGCTGTATGCCGTTTGCAAGTCTGTATGTTGCCAGCTCTTCTGCTCCCACCCACAAGGCATGTGCTTCCTGGACCTTCTCTTGTTTCCTTCTGGACCTGGGCATTGTGCCTTCACTGTGGCGCCATAGTTGAGTTTCCAGTGAATGCCTTCAGGTTGCAAGATGCCTCTCGACCAGGTCCTGTGCTTTTTCAGGAACAGAAAATGCCCCCATTTCCCAGTGGGAGAAAGGACTGGATGATCACTCATCTAAAAGATCCTAGGGCCTGTTTCTTTCCTTACCAGTCCAAGGCACACTTCTCTCTCTCTCTCTTTTGGCACACATCTCTTTGCAATAACTTAAAAGCAAAAGGAACCAGATTCTAGAACCTAGCACTTCTACCTAATTCCAGCTTCAAGTGCAATTTTTAGCATCTCCCTGTCACTGCAGCTGTATTCATTCTAGTACGCTGGAGATCGAAATTTCTGGAGGGGAAAGTAAATGTAATCAGGTGTTATCTGTGTTAATATCAGTTTTACAACTTGCTTAAGGTTGATGTGAGGATCAGCAGATAATGAACATGGAAGCATTGTGGGAAGAAAAAAAAAAGTTGAAGACTTGTATATTCTTTGCCTTTATCTAGCCTTGTCAGGAATAAAGTGTTCTGGATATGTGAATGTTTCAGATAAAAGACATGTATCCTCTGGTGATCAAGTGTTTCGAATTTCTACCTTTTTAATAGATGTTTTATAGAGTGTCCTCTTCCTTACTTGCATGAGCAGAGCACACCAGGCACAATTTGACCTTTTCTTGGTGAAAGAAAGACATCATTTATGAAGCTCAGTCATTATGCAGAGCTGTGAAATAATGCTATTCTTAACAGATTATGTAGAGTTGCATATCCCCCAATCCTAGAATCTCTAGTACTAAAGTGCTATTAAGTTGGTGGTTCTCTTCTGTCTCCAGGACGAATGAGGTTTGTAAGGCTTCCAGCCCCCCAGCTAAACAATCCTGCCCTGCAGCAGTCTGGGAGTGTCTTCACAGCTTCTTCCTGGAACTTCTGGTCCCCACTGGTTGTCTCCAGTAGCTGTGACCTGCCTGTCTCAGCTCGCCTTGCCTCACTATGGCTTGTGGCTTCTGTTCTTTCCCTCTCCATTCCGTGACTGTAATTGAGGAACGAGATTAACCTAGCAAGTGGGTTTTGGGGTTAAGAATAGGAGCTATAGATTCATATTCCTGAATCCTCCATTTTTCATCTGTTAGAATTAAGGCCATCTCTTCATCAAAATCTCATTTTTCTTCTGTGTGAAATGGAACTGTAAATAGTACCTAGCCGATAGGGTTGTTATGAGCATTAAAGTGCGGAGCATAGAACCTGCCATGTGAATGGTAGTTATTATTACTGCATCATTGTGACAACAGCTCTGATGCTTTTGAATGCTTCTAGAAGGTTGGATTAATCAGAAGTTTGATTGATGAATAAGTGGGCGTTTTACTGCATTTGTGTGGTGACTTTTATTGTTATCCTGACTAATCAAGATGCTAACTTGGAACTGTTGCCAACAAGTAGTCAGTCAACAGGAATCTGATTCTAGTTTTTGTCATTGTGCAGGCCTGGGGCAAACTGTCAAAGTGGCCAGTCTCTTTACAAATTAGAAGAGACCGCCTCAAACAAGGAGGTGGTACTGATCCCTCATGGACACTTCCTGCCCTCGCCTGGGAAGGTCTGCCCTGAGGCCCAGGAAAGTCTTGGCAGGCATTCTATCAGCAAATCTGGACTGTGAGGTGCAGACTGCAGCTCTGGGAATGAGTCAGGCAGCAGGTGTTGGGCAAAGCCTCCAGGATAGACCAGTATATGGACTTGAGGACTCAAAGGTTCAGAAGTCTACTGGAAAATACGAAATCTAGAACCAACTGTAGATACTTCCCAAAAGTCTTAATGTTCCTGTTCTATGTCCACTAATGTCTTTGAGTATTACTAAGTACCAGGTTTTAGGCTGGTGTTTTTATATACCCTGTCTCCTTGGAATGCACCACTCCAAGATGGGATATCCAAAATGACTTTTTTCTCTAACATCAGCAGCTATAGTCATTTGACTTTTCTGTTTTGCATCCGCCAGGAAGATGACTTTTCTGGTGGGGCCAAGAACAACTGTGGGCAGATACCCTGCTTGAGGAGGGACCCTTCTGATCCAGTCTTCATCCTCTACTTTATATTCCTGGGATGGGACTTTTAAGTTGCTTGAATTTGGTTCCTAATCTCTGGGGTAAGAAAAAGGAATGATGTATTTTAAAGGATTCAACCTCTAGTCTGTGTTACATCCCAACCTCATTCAATGTACATTAAATGGGCAGTGATAGGAAGATGCTGGAATGGAAGCCAGGCTGGATCTGAGTTCTATAAAATACCAGCAAAGTGACATTAGAAAAGCCACTTAACCTCCCTGGATCTCACTTCCATCAATTTTTAAAGGAAAGAATTGGAGTATTTTAACATTTGATAGGTCTATTCAGGAATTCCAGTTTTGATAGTTCCATGAAAACAATAATCATTGTCATTGACCACTTAGTATACACTAGTATTTTACCTAAAGATCTCATTTTATCATTACACAACCTATGAGTTGATTGTATTATTTTTCAAATGAAGACATTAATGTTTAAAAAGGTGAAGTCATCTAATAGAAGCATCTAGCAAATGGTAGGTCTAGGAGATTCAAATTTATATTTTGAATGGGTGATGATGAGGTTAATTTTCTCAAGGCGGTTCTTAGGGACTCATATATAAATAGGGGCATTTTCTTGTGTTGGAAGATAAAAACAAATATCTCTCTATCATCCAGGCAAAGAATCAGGGGCTTATATTGTCCTGATCATCCTTTTGACCTTTGATGGAGTCTCCTATGTGACTGTACCCTGGTAGCAGGCTTGATGATCAAGGTCTCTAACAGACCACCCACCATGGGGAGAGGTGAGGTTGAGAGCACTTTCTTTCCTTCACCCCGTTATAAAGACGAAACCCAAAGCTCCTGCATTGTACTGGGTTGTGGAACAATTTGGAGATAGCTGCTCCCAGTTTATATATTGAGTGCAAATGAGAAGGGAGCTTTATCTTTATGCCTGAATTCACCCCGGCATTAATGTCCCTAGATATTTAGAAAGATTATTCAAAGTAGTTGAACTGTCTGAAGCACAGCAGAAATAGATTACCCTCCCTTACCCATCTCAGAGCAAAGGCAGCAGAGTATGGTCCCCATGAACAGGTCACTAAGGGTATTTTGGTGTCAGACCTTGGCATGGCTGGTGTGGACTTTTGAGGAAGAAAATGGATTTGAAGGAAAATACCCACTGAGCTGTGGTGTGCAGTTGGCTATCCAGGGCTATGCAATGTTCTAACCACATGCTACTTCCACCACTTTTTAACCTCAACTGACCAAAGATCAAAATTAGGTAGACTTTATCCTGGTTTGGTAATAAGAGTATCTCTAGAAATTTGAAGGAAATTATATTTCTTTTTTTCCTATTCTCAAATAATCTATGGCTTTAAACAACTTTCATTTTCATTCGGCAAAGGAAATTCTAAAGATGGATTGTTTAGCTTCCAAATTAGACCTGAAGATAACTTGATTTTTAGGTTATTTATAGTTTAAACCAAAGATTTCTTGCCTTGGCTGGTTCAGCAGTGTATAAAACCAATCCGTAATCTTTCCTATTAGCCTGCCACAAACTGTGACTGGCTTAAGAGTTCAGGGGCAAGGCTGTTATACGTGCTGAAGGAATACAGTCTATGGCTCTTCCCTCTAATCTTTGCCACCAAACCCTTCCCACTCAAGGGTGCAAAGATGCTACTCCTGAGGGTGAGGTCATAAGATATAAAGAGAAGCATCTGAATGTCTGAACAGCTAATTGACGGTGAGGAAGGGTTAAGTGAACTGGCAGGCAACAGATGAGACCAGGCATTTCTTGGTGAAGCCATCTGCTGCTCTTCTCCACTGCCTACCACCCAAACCAAGGGATTCATTCTTATACATTTGACCCTTTATCCAGCCAGGCCAAGGACATTCACTTCAAAGTTCCTCAAGTGACCCCTTATCCCAGGTTAATCAGAGCCAGGAGAAGAATAAAGCCAAGAAGAGCAGAAAGAATAAATAAAATAAATGGAAAAATCAAGACCTTTTTCCTTGGTCCTGCTTACCCGCTAAGAACACCGAGAACCAAGTTAAGTACAAAAAATGACCCTATGATGATTAGTGTAACAAAATAGATCCAGGGCCAGTCCCTTCCTACGGCATCATTGACCTGGAAGAATGGAATGATAGTTAGTGAGGTACACTCCGCAACCGAGCACGGCCAAGCACCACTCACCGGCTCCCAAGACACTGACCCAGCAGCACTGGACCCCAGGGATCCACTAGGTGCAAATCAGAAGCCAAATGGCTTGCCTAGCCAATGTTATCAGAAGTCTTGGTTGAATGGAGACCTTTTTTTTTTTTTTTCCCTAGTTTTTTATAGGCTTGTTAGGGTCTCCTCCCTGGGGATCCTGGCAGTGGATGGAGTGGAAACTGGAACCTTGCTCGGCTGCATTGTAAAGAGGACACAGAAATGGTCAGCTTACCCGCTCAACACACCGAGAACCAGATTTAGAACGAAAAAGGATCCAAAGATGACCAGACTGACAAAATACACCCAGGGTAACTCATAGCCCATAGCGTCCTGCACCTGGAAAGATGAAGTAAAGTTAGGAAAGACAGAAAGCAGAAATGGGTTAAAGAAAAGAGGCAGCAAGAACAGTGTGTAGAGAGAATTTAGAGGAGACAAATGGGGTTGAATGTGGTTTTTGCCAATGTGGATCAGGACCCATTGTTCCCTGTGGCATCAACTACTTTCAAAATACTTCTCTTTGCCCTTTACCACAATGATGAGGCACATTTGCAGGGTTGGCCTCAGGAGGAATCTTGTCTGGATTTCTCTATTGGTTTTATTTCCAGGATCAGAAAAAAAAAACAAAAAATCTCCAATAATCTCTGTTCACTTGTCTAAGAAGCTGGTTCACCTTAAAAAATAATTTCTTCAGCATATGATGGTTTTAGCTCAGTTGGGTTTATATGGTTGCTAAATTTTCTACTGCACTCTGAGGCACTCAATCTTGGTACTTGAAGTACCTCAGCTCTTACTGACAGAGAGGGAGAAGTGAAACCTTAGAGGAGATGTGAAGAAAGATATCTTCCTAAAGCACTTACCACCTGAACCCTGGGATGTGACCAGAATTTAGAGGTTAAATCCAGTTCTTCATGAGCACTAAAAACTACAGGATAGGAAAAGGCAGCCATTTTGGTCTATATATTCAAAGAACAGTTCCCATGCCAGTACCCATAGATGTAAGTGTTCAATAACTTGGAAACTGAACTGAAAACTAATTAAAAAAATAAAGATACCCTGAGAAAAGTTTACAAATCCCCACAGTAGCTGGAGGCTGTGGTGTACTGGAGCTGGCTCCCATTGCCTTTGGAGAGCTGAGTATGTTGATCTCTTCCCAACTCCACGTTCAGTGACTTCACATTGACAGCTTGAAATTGATTATGGCGGAAGTCATTATACCATAGAAATGACAAAATACACACATCAGCACTCCTCCTACCTCTTACCCCTAATAAAGCACATATTTATGAGGTAGAATATGGATGTGAACATGATGTCAGAAAGCAGTGTTTTTATCAGATGGCATTTCTTCTGATTTAGTTTCTCAAATTGACCTCCTCTGACTAGACTAGACAAGGTTTAGTCTTATCTTCCTAAAGTTGAACCCCAACTTTGTTGTGAAATTAGCTCACAGATGCAAATTCTTCAGGCACACCAGCTTTTTGAATGATATACATCTGTGGTTCTCAGAGTATGGTCCCACGAACCAGCAGCAACTGCAACATTGCCTGAGAACTTGTCTAGAAATGCACAAGTTTGGGATGCATCCTGAACCCACTGATTCTGGAAATGTGGAGGTGGGTCCTGCAAGCTGCTTTAACAAGCCCTCCAGATACTTAAGTTTGAGAACCACAGATTTACATCACGCTCTCCGGACTGCAAACATAACAGCTTGACAAAGACAGTGATTTACTATGTTTCTTCATTATGCTGTGCTGCAGTGTTTCTCAAAGTGTGGTCTGAAGACTGCCAGCATCAGAATGATCTAAGAAAACTGTTAGCAAAAGCAGAGTCCTGGGTCCTGCCTCAGCCCCCAGTGAAGTTCATAAATCTGTATATTAACCACCCCAGGTGATTCTAAGGTACGCTGAAGATTGATAACCACTGCAGCCTCTCCACTGTGGGTGCTTGAGACGTGTTACAAGTGTACTGGGATATTAATGCTCTCAGTCCTCAAGATTGTTCAGATGCTGAGAAATCTCATCCATTTACCTAAGCATGCTGGACAAGTCATATGGTTTACGTACACTGTGAATAACAAATGCTGAGGAATACAGAGAGGCCTACTTGGTCAGCCTGGTTTGATGTGTTACATTCTGATTTGTCCTTTACAAACTCATGATGCTTATCTGGTGTTATTATAGTTTGGTTACGTAAATCCACCAAATTCAGTCATAGTCAATAGTGCAAAAATTGTGTCAAGGGTTTGGGGGTCACTGGTCACTGAACGAAATTAGGAAGAGAAGAGCACATCTGTTTGAATTCAGTTAATGCAGAAGAGAAGGGTTCATAATGCATGCCACCTTAACCATAATTGAATCCAACTTGACACATGCTTACTGAACAGTTCCAGTCTCACACACCCTGCTCTATTCTTTTCCCATAGCAGTTCTCACTTTCTAACACTATGGTTTATCTACTGATGTCATTTAATGCTAGAATGTAAGTTCCACGAGGGCAGGCAGTTTGGGTCTTCTTTGTTCACTAATGTATCCCAAGCGCTTAGAATAGTGCCTAGCACATGGTTGTTTTTGTTTTGAAGTGCCGTTGAGTCGGTTCTGACTCATAGCGACCCTATATAGGGTTTCTGAGGAACAACTGGTGAGCTTGAAACACCGACCTTTCAGTTCAAACCGACCTTGCAGTCCAATGCATTAACCCACAGTGCCGTACTAGCACATTGTAGGTACTCATTAAATGTTTGTTGAGTGAATGAATGAACTTAATGTATGGCACCAATATGTGTTCTAAATAGGAAGCCCTGGCTAGTGTGTGTGTGTGTGTGTGTGTGTGTGTGTGTGTGTGTGTATAGGGGGCAATAGGAAGTTAGGGTACAGGAAAGTAAAATGCAATTACAGTGCAGGGTGACAAGTATAATTGTAGTAGTAAGTTTTCAGGGCTCTAGAAGAACAAAGAGCAGGGGATCAGGGATGATTTCCTATATGATGTTGGAGGGATCAGCCAGGATGATGTAAACTTTGCACTGTGGAGCCACTGAAGGCACAAGGAGTTTGGAGCAGAAAGCAAGTCCAGAACCCATAGGATCCTGTGATGGGAATGGAGGTTTCCTATGAACTTGGCAGCTATTAAAAATAGAACCTACAGCTGTAAGGCTATCCTATCTCTGGGATGGAGGGTTTTCCCAGTTGCTGAGCCATTAAATTATCCAGCAAAACAGCAGCTGTTAGGAGAGGCAGGGCAGGAAGTTGTGTGTGTGTCAGTCCCTGTCCCTGCCCCAGGGAGCTTGTGAGCTAGGCATTACAGGGCTTATTGTCTTTGTTAGCTAGAAGTGACTGTTCAAACCAATACTGCAAAGGAAACCAAACCAGCAGAGGGAAGTTCAAGAAAAGTCTTCACTGGCAAAAGCAAACCAAAACTGCACCAATATGGGTGGAACAGGATGGGTGGAAGGGGATTTACAAGGTAAAAAAGTAGAGGAGCCACAGTCAGCCAGCTGACCACTGGCCAGGCCAGGAGGGCACTGATGGCCATATTATACCATTAATATGGGGAACTGCGGAGTGATATTCTTACCAAAGCAAACCTTTGTTGCCCTTGAGTCGGATCCCAACTCATAACGACTCTTTAGGCCAGTATAGGGTTTCCAAGGCTGTAATCTTTATGGAAGTAGATCCTCTTTCTCCCACGGAGCAACTGGTGGGTTTGAACAGCTGACTTTTGAGTTTGCAGGTGAGCACTTAAACAGTGTGCCACCAAGACTCCTTTGATTATTCTTAAGAGCAGTCATAACATAGTCAACATTTGTTCCCTGAGTATTTACTGTCTACAGTGTATTCCTCCATTGTGTTCCTTGCTGGACTCTGCTGCAGTCAAAGCAACAGGGTTGAAAACAGCCCTGAGGTGGCCTGGAACCATGTTCATTTGAAAACCTTTCTCAAGTTAAACGCTCCAAATACAGGAGCCCTCGTATGATGCTGTGGAATAAGGGCTGGACTTCTAACTGTAAGGTCAGTGGTTCAAACCGGCCAGCTCCTCCTCAGAAACCCTGTACAGGGTCGCTAAGACAACAACAACAATACAGATCATCGGTGCTTCTTTACATCTTTGGGAAGATTGGGAAGCCAAAAAAAAGCTGATGAAAACTATGGATTTGTTTTTTAAAAATAGCCTGGGCTAGAGCCAGAGCGGAGTCAGGAAAGTTCTGGAAGGTAAAGTAACCCTTAGCTTCCACCTCTCCCTTGTTGTCCTTTTGTTTCTGCTTTGGCTCCTTCCTTGGCTAAGGGCTAGTTCTTTTAAATGTTCAGATAGGGAATAGCAAGTGAGGGGTAGGAGGAGGACAAAGAGACATTATTGGGCTTCTAAGGTGGGCTCTGGTTTGAAAGGAAAGTACCTCTTTTGTTTTCTCTCTTTTATTTTCTATTCTAGGCCACCTACTTTTGGGGGCAGACTGGGAAGACAGCATCTAATGCTGGGTGGCTGTGAAGTAGGGCAATGCCTGAAGAGTTGAGATTGATGTCTTAAATCAGCTGAAATAGAGCTATTAAGAAGAGAAGGAATAAATTAATATATTTTTTTAATGACCCAGATTGCTAACATCCTTTATTTAGAGATGAAAAAAGGATGGGTCTTCCCAAACCATCAGAGTTAAATCTTTCTTAAGCCTACAATAAAAGCAACTGTGACTTGCCCAAGGAAGGTGGACAGAGGTATCTTGATGTCCACCATCTGTAGTCATCAAGGCCTCAATGACCAAGAATGAATGGGATGACTCTAGCCTTCCCTGAAACACACAGCTGTACTACTCCTAGTCTCTTGGACTAAACGAATGTTGAATGGAAAAATGAGTAGAGCCTTCTGAAACCAATATCTAATTCCTAGAGGGCATTCTTAACCTCTAACCTTCAAGTACCTCCTACCCTTAGTAGGAGGGAAGCCATTTCCTCACCCCATCTTTCAAGACCACTCTGTCCTAGTGTGGTTGCCATATGTTTTCAAGTTGTGTGCACATTTTCCCATAAGGCCCTTGACCCAGGAACTGTGCATCAAAAGACCAAATCGTCTCAGCAGATGCCAAGAGGCAGTCTGTTAACTTTCCAAGGAAAGGCAGGAGGTGCAAACTCATAAAAGTCACAGTGCTTTACAAAGAGTCTCATCAGAGGGCAGGGTTTGCTTCTACTAGTGAATGGCAGTTCAGGGCAACACCCTGATACATCTGTGAATGGTCATCCATGACCTTTTTCATCTTGCTTACTGGGACACGGGAGACCATCTAGTGGGTAATTGAGTAAGCAACAATTCAGAAATGAGCACCTGCTCATTCTCGGACAATGAAAACCGTG